GTCCAGGAATCCAGCCACCAGGGGCCAAGGGGGCCCGGGGCAGGGGGGGCCGGCAAACCCTGAACCCAAAACCCTGAACCACCTCCAGAGGCAAAGGGTTACGATTTGGGGTTATACTTTAGCTACGCTAAAGGTGGTCTGGGTGCCGGCCATCCCTTAGCCGAGTACTGACGTTGTCGTAAAAAAGGCCGATGTCCGTTGGCCTGTCCAGGACAGACGGTGAGGCTTAACCCTCACCTTTCCGTTTCTCTTTTCGCTTGGGCGCTCGGGCTGTAAGGCCCTCGGCCGAGCGTTCGGGGTCTGTCGCTCGACGGAAGCGACCCCTCACTTAGTTTAGGGTTTAGGGCCCCCAAACCCTCGACCCAAAACACCGCAACATGTCGGATGGGCCATGCTCGGATGGGCACGACCTACGGCAAAAAGGGGGTTTAGGGTTTAGGGTTTAGGGTTTAGGGTTTAGGGTGTAGGGTGTAGGGTTAAGGGTGTAGGGTGTAGGGTGTAGGGTGTCGGGTGTAGGGTGTAGGGCTTGGGGGAGGAGCAGGTTGACAGGTTGGGAGAGCAGGCTAGGGAGCAAGGGCTTTGGGCAGCTAGGGTTTGGGCTTTGGGGTTAAGGGTTTAGGGTAAACCCTAAACCCTAAACCCTAAACCCTAAACCCTAAACCCTAAACCCTAAACCCTAAACCCTAAACCCTAAACCCGACTCCCTAAACCCTAAACCCTGGAGCTTCGGAAGATCAAGGCTTGGGGTGCAGGGATTGGGGTTCAGGGCTGAGGAAAAGGCGTCAGTATGTTCATGGATCCTCGTCTGACTAAGGACAACCCTAAACCCTAAACCCTAAACCCTAAACCCTAAACCCTAAACCCTAAACCCTAAACCCTAAACCCTAAACCCTAAACCCTAACTGTTCTCTTCCCCAACAGCTGAGAGGCAACCTCTTCGTTCATGGCTCGAACTCACCTACGCCCTAAACTTACTGTAGGCTAGTAGCGAATGACGTAGCCTATGTAAGCCCTGAAAGGGTGTATATATATATATATAATATAAGGGGGAGGGGATATAGGGTACCTCATACCCTCATCCCCTACAAACCAACAGTAAGTAAAACACTAATGTAAACCTCTGACTGGTAAGGGGTGGATGTTTTGATTCTTGAAGAGCGGAATTATTTTGACTTCTTGTTTGTGTTTTTTGGGGCTGGCTTTCCCATCGCTTCCTAGAGAAACCTCCATGGTGTCCGTACTTTGGGTCTTGTTGGGTTTCTTGTGGGCGGGAGTGTTTGTTAGGGTTCAGGGTTTCGGGTTTCAGGTTTAGGGTTCAAGATTGAGGATTTAGGGTTTAGGGTTTCAGGATTTCAGGGTTTCAGGGTTTTAGGGTTCAGGGTTTCAGGGTTTCCGGGTTTCAGGGTTGAGGGACCCCAAAACTGCCTAAGCTTGATGCCGGCCGAGCCCTGCACCCAGCCATCGGCACCAGTCCGCGCAGGGGAGTCTTGAACAGCGAGACCGAACCTCATCCCGTCCCCGTGGTTTCTGTTTAGGGTTAGGGAGGGTTTAGGGTTTAGGGTTTAAGGTTCAGGGTTCAGGGTTTAGGGTTTACGGTTTAGGGCTTAGGGCTTAGGGTTTAGGGCTTAGGGTTGGGGTTTTGGGTTTCAAGAGCACAATATGCCAACCGGTGCAACTCCTGCTTCCCCACACCCACACTGGCGCCGCCCCGCCCTAAATCCTAAACCCTAAACCCCAAACCCTAAACCCTAAACCTAAACCCTATAACCCCAAACCCCAAAGCCGCGTGAGCATGAGCAGTCGGACTGAGCCCTGTCCTTGCCCCTTCGGATCGCCTGCGCTTCGGTAAGAAGGACCCTTTGGGTTTAAGGTTTAGGGGCTTGGGTATAGAGGATTACGAAGTTCTGGAGTTGTAGGCTTTAGGCTTTTGGGGATTTAGAGTTTTTGGGTTTAGGGATCCTTTGAAGGTTAGCCACCAACAGGCTTAGGAGGTTAAGGTCTAGGGCTTCCCAAAACCCCGAAATTGAGGTTCCGACCGCCTGCGCTTGGCTTTGGGTACGGCCTGAACACAAGCATGGGAAGCAGTAGACAGGCGCAAAAAGTGGGTAAATAGGGGGTCTATGAGGGGGGGGTCTGTGGGGGTCCATAGGGAGTCTACAGGGCCTTTGCGGATCAGCAACTGCAGTGTCAGAGTGTTTGCTTTTGCCTCGTTTGGGTGTAACCATTTGCAAGCATGTGAGGATGCCAATGTTTGGCCATGAAAAAGCGTTTGAACGGTCGCCTCTACACTCTACACCTTCACAGTTCAAGTGGGCAATCCGCCAAGTGGAACGGCCATGAATTCATGCTGTTCTGTTTGACGACGCGGGGCAAAAAGGGTAAACCCAGTGTGCTGAAACATCAGGCCACAAACCGGACGCATCCGAAATCAGATTCTGAAGCAGCAGAGTTCCCTTTGCCCCAGAAGCCAAACATCCCAAAACTTAAAACCGTGAACGCCAACCCTGAACGCCCCATGAAGACAATGCTTGACAGATCTTGACAGGAAACCTGAAATTGGGCTTGAAACTGCCTGACACCCGAACGATGGACAACATTAACTCATGGTTTTCATGGTAAGCGGGGCCCTAGAATATAGCGAAAAATACCGGAACATACCGGAACCACAATCAACAACGCCTCGACCACAAGGCATACTTGGACGTTCGTGGTACATAATGACCAATTACAACTGTACTTCTAATCCACTCATGAGCCCCTGAGTTACCCGAAAATGGTCAGAACTGACTTATAAGTGCAATTGCTATTTGGTTAGTAAGTACCATGAACCTCCAAGTAAAAGCATTTCTGAATCTGAAGACAAGCCCACCGAACCTAAACCCTAAACCCTAAACCCTAACCCCTAACCCCTAACCCCTAACCCCTAACCCTAAACCCTAAACCCTAAACCCTAAACCCTAAACCCTAAACCCTAAACCCTAAACCCTAAACCCTAAACCCTAACCCTAAACCCTAAACCCTAAACCCTAAACCCTAAACCCTAAACCCTAAACCCTAAACCCTAAACCCTAAACCCTAAACCCTAGAAAGGTGGAACTGGAGTACCGTTGTAAACCATTAGCCCTAAGGGTCCATGTACCCAAATAGGGAATACTTGGGCCTTAAAGTACCTGCGAAAATAGGGACGTTGGGGCCAAGTGTATAATAACACGGTACATGGACCCTTAGGGATTGGTTTAGAAGGGTACTCCAGCTCCACTTTTCTAGAGTTTAAGGTTCATTCATTTAGGTACATGGACCCTTAAGGATTTACAGACATATGGACTGCTTTTTGTATCTTGTCGTATCTGTTGCCACGATCCAGGACGAATTTCAACCGTGCCTGTCGCGAAAGAAGGCAAAAGCCCTAAGGGTCCATGTACGCATATAGTACATATTTGGGCCCTACAGCTACTGTATAGGAACCCCTTAAGGCCCAAGTATATACTATATGAGTACATGGACCCTTTTGGGAGGTATCTCGGAGCCTCAACAATGGAAGTCGTTCTTGCTGGAAGAATGATTGCGGCAGCATGCATGCATACAACGGCGAAACTCGTGGGCGTAGAGCACGTGCATGTTGCCGGGGACCGAGGCCCCGGAGCTATCTGTGTGTCGGCGGCCGGTAAACTTGAAGCCCTAAACCCCGAACCCTTTAGGGTTTAGGGTTTAGGGTTTAGGGTCGAGGTTGCTTTGCACATTGGAGTGAGGGTATCCGGTGCCACCCCAAACAAACCCAAAGCCGGGGGGTGGGCGCAGACCTTTGTTCAGTGCTAGGGACCCCAAACCCTAAACCCTAAGCCCTGAACCCTAAACCCTAAACCCTAAGCCCTGAACCCTAAACCCTAAACCCTAAACCCTAAACCCACTTAGATGCCCTTTAAGTGGACTATGTGGTTCTAGTTGCGTTTGAAGAACAGTTCTAGTTGGGTTCTTTTAGGAACCATGAACCTTCAAGTAGGCCTACGTAAGCCCCAAGCCCTCAGTTCCCTTTGTGCCAACCCCTCAAAGTCACTCTTTTAAGATCTTTAGCCTCAGTAACCTAATAGGGGCTTGAATAATTAGAATAGGGGTGTGGGGGGGGTTATTTTAGTATAGTTACAAAGAGACCTAAGGGATAACTATTTGCAATGCTTCCGACCCCTCCTCGAGTCAAGCCATCCCTACTTCTGAGGGCGGTGCAAGGACCAACCGACCCCCAGAATTCCTGAAACCTCGAAAAGTCCTAAAGCCCAAGCGCCCTGACATACCAAGAAAGTTTGACGGTGCACTCAACCCTTTAAACCCTTAACACCCTGAAATCGCCTAAGCCGGAAACCCTCAACCCTAAGCCCTAAGCCCTAAGCCCTAAACCCTAAACCCTAAGCCTTAAGCCCTAACCCCTAAACCCTGAACCCTTAACCCTAAGCCCTAAGCCCAAGCCCTAAACTCTCAACCCTAAACCCTAAGCCCCAAACCCTAAACCCTAAACCCCAAACCCAAAACCCCAAACCCTAAACCCTAAAGCCTTAAGCCCTAAACCCTAAGCCCTAAGCCCTAAACCCTAAACCCTAAACCCTAAACCCTAAACCCTAAACCCTAAACCCATCCCTAGAAGACCGTGCTGGGCGCGTTCCACCTCGGGAGGTCGCCGTCGGCCTCTGCGCTTCGTCTGCGCCTCGTCGACCACAGATTCCACCTTGCTGAGGGGTTTAGGGTTTAGGGTTTAGGGTTTGGGGTTTGGGGTTTAGGGTTTAGGGTTTGGGATTTGGGGTTTAGGGTTCAGGGTTTGGGGTTTAGGGTTTGGGGTTTAGGGTTTAGGATTTAGGGTTTAGGATACGTTGGGGCCCTGTGCTCATGGACGCTCGGCAGCCTTCTCCTCGACATCTTTGATGCTCCTTGCATTTTTTCTTTCAAGGGCTTCCGTGGATAGGGGTTTAGGGCTGGGGATTTGGGGACTTGGGGTTGCGGGTGTTTCGGATCTAGGGGAGCTGACGGCTTTTCACCGTTCCTGATATGGGGGGCCGTAGAGAACTGTACAAACAGGCAGATCAGGATTCAGGAGATTTAGGGTACAGGCTTGCGGGGGCTCTAGGGTTCAGGAGGTTCGGGGTTCAGTCGTTTTAGGTCCCACTAAAGAGAAGTCCATACTTTAAAATGGGATTTGAGGGGCTTCAGGAACTTCGGAGTTCAGGGTTCAGGATTTATAGGCATGCGATTATAGGGGTTGATAGGGTTCACAGGAGGAAGAGATGTTGAAACTTAGAGCAAAGGGAGAGCCCCCGAAAAAGCAAAGCCCTGAACCCTAAACCCCTGCAGACTGTGAAGCCTTACAGCGCTAAAGCCCTACAGCCTCAAAACCTTGAAGCCCTTGAATCCTTAAATTCTAGAGGCACCCAGCCTAAACCTCTGCACCCGAAAGCCCTGAAACCATAAATGCGCAATTCTCTAAATTGTGGTCCCTTTGTGAGCCCCATATATAAGGCGTCACCCTACCAATACGGACCCCCCAAAAGGGGAGCCTAACTTGAAGAACCCCCCAAAAGAACACCTAAGCCCTGCATCCCCAGAGCCCAAAAGTAAACAAAAGGGCCCATATTGCAGACAGCAAAGCGACCCGGCCTACCTCGTGCAGGCAACAAAGAGCCCGAAAATCCTAAGGCCCTGAAAGTAGTGAAGCCTTTGGGTGCAACAAACTGCATCAGGTGAAACCCTAAGCCCTAAACCCTAAACCCTAAACCCTAGTCCGGCTGAGGGCTCGCTACCACCACGTGAGAGCCCGAAGCCGTCCGAGCGCTCAGCGAGCGACCTGACCACACGCCACGTGCAGCCCAGGTAAGCTGGGGCTGCTGAACCAACCAGATCTGGGGCCGAAACCCTAAAATACTATACCCCGGGTGGTTTGGGGTGGGTGTGCCACGCGACGCGCGCGTGGGAGTGGGCCCGTGAAAGCCACTCTGTATAGGGCCCATGACGCGCGCTAAGAACGTGGCCACACCCTAAACCCTAAACCCCACTAAACCTGCCCCTTGCACACGATCGGTCCTCCGGACGGTGCTAAGGCTGTTTGCGAAATCCGTCGGGGCGATATTCAGCGAAGACGCCTGCGCCGTAAGATGCAGCCTTACCCACAGGGTCGGTTTGGGTTTAGGGTTTAGGGTTTAGGGTTTAGGGTTTAGGGTTTGGGGTTTGGGGTTTGGGGTTTAGGGTTTAGGGTTTAGGGTTTAGGGTTTAGGGTTTAGGGTTTAGGGTTTAGGGTTTAGGGTTGAGAGTTGAGGGTTGATGGTTGAGGGTTGAGGGGGTTTAGGGTTTGGGTTTAGGGTACGTACTCCCAAAATAGTACTACGAATGGACCCGCAGGGAGGCATATGACCAAACAAACGCTAGTGTCAACCTTAACCCCTAAACTCCTAAACTATCTAGGAATCGCTGAAGGAACACTTTCAAAGCAGGTTCGACTTGACAATTCCTTTCAAGAAACCCTCGAAGTTCTCCAAACCCTATGAAGCCTAAAGACCTACACCCTGAACCCTAAACCTAAACCCTAAACCCTAACCCTAAACCCTACACCTCCAGCCTAAGACCCTAAGACCCTGAGACCCCGAGACCCTGAAACCCTAAAACACTGCATAAGAGCTATGAGCCTAAGACCCCAACCTAAGTTTCTGAGACCCTAAGACCCCAAGGACCCTAAGACCCTGAGACCCTAAGAGCCTGAGACCCTAACATCGACCCTCAGACCCTCACACCCTAAGACCCTGAGACCCTAAGACCCTGAGACCCTAAGACCTTGACACCCTAAGGCCCTCAGACCCTGAACCCTGAAATGCCAGACCCGAAGACCCTGAGACCCTGAGACCCTAAGACCCTAAGACCCTAAGACCCTAAGACCCTAAGACCCGAAGACCCTAAGACCCTAAGACCCTAAGACCCTACAACCCTAAGACTAAGACCCCAGGACCCCAGGACCCCAAGACCCCAAGACCCTGAGACCCTGAGACCCTAAGACCCTAAGACCCTAAGACCTCAGGACCCCAAGACCCTAAGACCCTGAGACTCTGAGATCCTAAGACCCTGAGACCCTGAGAGCCTCAGACCCTAAGACCCTCAGACCCTTAAGACCCTCAGACCCTAAACCCTAGGCCCTAAATTGCCAAGCCGACGAAAAGCAAGAAGCCGCCGCCTGTGCCAAGAACTGGCTGAGGGACTCCGCTTGGGTACTCACCGCCTCTTCGAGACGTAGGGGGGCTTGGGGCTTAGGGTCGAGGGTTTTTAGGGCTGTTTAGGGGTTTGAGGCAACCCACACCGCAACCAAAACCCAGACCCCCTGTTTTTGCCCACAGTCTAGTAGTAGAACAGGATTTGGGGCTTCCCAAGCCCCAACCCCAAAGGGTTGCAGTTGGTAATTGGTAAGGCGCATGCGTGACGTCTGGCTGTTGCCTGCGCTTGCGCACGCAACGCCTGCGCTTTCCGTGCGTTTGGACAGCAGAGAACAATGTCCATGCCACCATTGCATCTATTGGCCAGAGCATCTTTGGCCGACCGATGATAATGATGACAACGTCAACACTGCCAGAACTTGCTGGGGAATGTGCTGGATGGCGTCAAAAGGCTCTGTGGCATCATATAAGGGTTTCGGGACTAGGGCTTAGGGTAGCTCAATCCCGAAATTACTGCATGACGTTGCTTGGCAAGGGGTCCATGTACCTGTCCCTTTACAGTACATTCGTGGGCCATACAGCGATTCCAAAATGGTAGCTTTAGGGATCAAAAGTATACTATACGTGTACATGGACCCTTAGCCGTCTGAGTCATCCCCTTTGGTTTAGGGTTCTCAGGCTCGCTTGCCCAGTAGCCTGTGAATACGTTTTTCAGTGTCTACTAGGGCTGGCAAGGGTACTTTGCCCCCGAGCAAGGGTGTGATCAGGCTGGTAGGATTGGGCGTAGGGTTTAGGGTTTAGGGTTTAGGGTTTAGGGTTTAGGGTTTAGGGTTTAGGGTTTAGGGTTTAGGGTTTAGGGTTTAGGGTGTAGGGTTTAGGGTTTAGGCTTTGTAAGGGTTCAGGGTCTAGGCTCAGAGCCTAGGACTTGGGACGCTCGCAACCTCACCTTTCGACATCCTGTACCAACAAAACGCATTACCAGCATACTATTCTGTAGACAGCAGAAAATATAGGTACTGTCCCCAGTCGATACCGAGTGTTGGGTGTGGCCTATAACCCGAAACTCTAACCACTAACCCTTCGACCCTAAGCACTCGGCCCTACACCCAAACCTTAGCCTCTAAACGGCCCTAAACCTAAATTAAGGGGCACAAACCCTAAACCCTAAACCCTAAACCCTAAACCCTAAACCCTAAACCCTAAACCCTCTTCAGACCTCCTGTAAGGCTTCCAGGGACTCCCCCTGCACGCCGCCAAAGACGCCAGAAGCGTCCGACCTTGGGGTTTACGGTTTAGGGTTTAGGGTTTAGGGTTTAGGGTTCATCCCCCCCCCCCCCCCCCCCCTTGAAGGCATGCCTTAATAAAGGGGAGGGGCTTAGGGTTTAGGGTTTAGGGTTTAGGGTTTAGGGATAATAAAGAGAGGGTTTACGGTCCAGGCTCTGGGGTGTGCAGGGGTATATAGGGTTTTTTAGGGTCTGTCGGGTATATGGAGGGTATAGGGTACGCCCGCCCTTGAAGCACCCTAAGAAGAATCTCTTGGGGTATCTTCAAGGGTCCAGGGAGAGGGTTGAGTGTCATGCTTCACAGTAGAACTTTAAACCCGACATCCTGAACCACATCACGGGCCAAGCCTACTTCCCGAAATCCCCTACTAATTAAGGACCAGTACTGTCTGGGCTCCTAAACCCAAAACCCAAAACCCTGAACCCTAAAACCCTAAAACCCTAAACCCTAATTAAACCCTAAAGCGCAAGCTCATGCGGGACTGCGGCTGGTTCTGCGCGGCATCGGCCACGAGCTCGTCTTCCCTCGCGTAAAGCCGGACGTGGGGGGCTTTGAGTGTTTTTTTGCATGTAGGGACGAAGTTCCTGAACCCTAAACCCTAAACCCCAAACCCTAAGCCCTAAAACCTAAATCCCAAACCCTAAACCCTAAACCCTAAACCCTAAACCCTAAACCCTAAACCCTAAACCCTAAACCCTAAACCCTAAACCCTAAACCCTAAATCCTTGGGGTGTCATGGGGCTGTCAAGATACCCCAAGCATCCTAGTGAAGCTGAGTTCTGCTCTTTGAAGCTACTATAAGGGCCTTGATTTAGTTTTTAGTTTTTTTTTTTTTGGGGGGGGGGGGGGGGGGGGGGGGGGTGTGATTTTAGCATAATTATGTAGGGACAGTATGGGAGTGCAGATAGCAGTTATTCCGACCACTGTATTAAAGGGTTTTGGGTTTAGCACGGCAGGGTGTAGGGTCTAGGGCCTAGGGTTTAGGGTTTACGGCTGTGTCGAATAGCTCCCGCTTCTCTGTGGCTATGTGAGACAAACTCTCAACCCAGACCCCTGGGAGGATCCAAAAAATAGATCCCCTTAAGGGTTCCTAAGACTGACCCAATAGTAGTATAGGGTACTATCTGGGGGCTCTATTTTTTGGATCCTCCCAAAAGTCTGGGAACCTGCAACCAGGCCCCCGAGCCCTTGGAAAGCGAACTTCAAGGTGTCCACAAAGAACTCGGAGCCATCCTCAAACAGGTCCTGGGGCGGCTGAGGCTTGGGGGTTTAGGGTTTCTAGGGGTCTGGGGGTTTAGGGTTTAGGGTTGAGGGTTTAGGGTTTAGGGTTTAGGAGTTTTAGGGTTTAGGAGTTTGGGCTTACGGTTGAGGAGTTCGGGGGGGTTTTGTGTTGTAGTGGTTTGCAGGGAGGATTAGGGTCGAGGGGGTTGAGGGGTATAGGGATGCAAAGCTTTGCCATGTAGACGTGTGAAAACAACAACAGCCTGTTTTATGGAGCCTTGCTGTGTGCCAATGTGGCCTCTGACTGGTGCTGAAAACGACTTTATAGCGCATCACGCGCAGGGCAAACTGAGGAAGAAAAGCCTCGCAAACGAGTAGAACTCAGCGCTGCGCCTTGGCCTTGGCCTTCTTGGTAGGAGCTGCTCCACGGCACACATCAGCGCGAAGAACGATCTTTCTGTCTTGCAACGTGCCGCTCGAGGTGCTCCATCGAGACGCGGAAGGGAATGGTAAGCTCGAGCAGCTCTGTGAGCGATGGCCCCTTCGCCCCGAGCTCGGTGGGTTCAGGATTTAGGGGTTACGGGTTAGGGTTTCGGGGGGTTTGGGGGTTTGCGTTTAGGATTTAGGGTTTTAGAGCTATATGGGGCGGGAAGGGGTCTGTAAACGATGGAACCTTATTCAAGGGAGGTGGGAGGGGTGGTTTTATCAGAGTATGCTTCCAAAACAGGAAGTGAAGCTTAGCGGTATCTTTCGGGTCTCACGAGCAGATCGCTTAGGGTTCAGGGTCTAGGGCTGAGGGCTTAGGGGATTTTGGGGTGGAAGAGTTGGGGTTTAGGGTCTGGGCTTAGGGCTTAATTACTGTTTAATTGGGGTTTAGGGCTTAGGGGCTTTCACAGCAAGGGCAGCTGTGGAGCATATTGAGACTGCACGAGGCGCTGGCAGAGACAAAGCAAGGCCGAACATGTTCGAGGAAGGTGGTTCTAACCCTCACATCCCGAAACCCTAAACCCTAAACCCTAAACCCTCAACCCTAAACCTCTTACACAAGACCGACCCTTCCCTCCCCTCCCCCACCCCCCCCCCCGGTGATCGTTGGGTCCGCCGCGGTCTTCGCCAGGCTATCCCAGGGTGCCTGCCAGTCACCGCTGCTGGGGTCTAGGGTTTAGGGTTTAGGGTTTAGGGTTTAGGGTTTAGGGTTTAGGGTTCAGGGTTCAGGGTTTAGGGTTCAGGGTTCAGGGTTCGGTTTAGTATTTAGGATTTAGATAGGGTTTAGGGTCTTTGCAAAAATGGCTGCGGCTGCCGATATTTTCTGAGCGCACTCTACTAGCAACTGAAAAGGTATACCCCCCAAACAAGAGTATCACTTAAGGTCCAGCTAAAACCCTAAACTCATCACAATACAATTTAACCCTTCAAGGGTCATAGGTTAGCCCGTTCCCACATTCTCCACTAAGCAAGGCATACTCAGCCTAGATTTTCGCATGTGTGTATATATATATATAGATTAGATATTACACATGTGCCCCGTGCTAATGATAGGGTGGTCGGTGCATCGTCAACCCTAAACCCTAAATCCTAAACCCAAAACCCAAAACCCTAAACCCTAAACCCGCCCACCTCGGTTTCCGAGTCGGACGACTCCGACTCGAACGACTCCGACTCGGAACTCGTCGGCTCCACTTCGGCAGGAGCTGCGCGCGCCTCGTGAAGTGCTTGGGGTTTATGGTTTAGGGTTTACGGTTTAGGGTTGAGAGTCTGGGGCCTAGGGTCTGGGGTTCAGGGTTTAGGGTCCAGAGCTCTGGTGGTTTTGCTCGCCGCCTACATCCTCGCTACCGCATTAAGAAACCCATCAAACCCCAAACAAGCTAAGGATCTACAACTGAAAGATGGTTTATTGGTTATATTGAGTCTCTATATATTGACAAAATTTATGTTACATACGAGCCACAGGGTAAGGTTCAGTGAAGTAGTGGTGATTGTACTCATGCCCCCTCCCTTGATACCCCTACTAGGGTCTGGGTTTGGGACTCAGGCCTCTATAAACCCTATAAACCCTGTAAACCCTATAAACCCTATAAACCCTATAAACCCTATAAACCCCATAAACCCTGTAAACCCTATAAACCCTATAAGATAAACCCTATAAACCCTAACCGGCCCTAACCCTAAACCCCAAGCCCTAAACCGTTCAGGGTTCAGGTGCGACCCTCAACAGGGAATTTTTGGTGTACCCTGCAAGGGGTAGCAAATTCCCTGAGTCTGCAACTGAGGTTGCTCAGTAGACCCCTAAAGCTTAAACCTTGAACCGTTTAGGGTTTAGGGTTTAGGGTTTAGGGTTTAGGGTTTAGGGTTTAGGGTTTAGGGTTTAGGGTTTAGGGTTCGTCTGTTTGAAGGGGTTTCGAGTGCATCCTAGCCGGAAGTAACCACATAAGGGCATCCTGGTATAGGGGATCTGTGCTCTTACACCCTAAGCCCTACGCATACTGCAAGGATCAGGACACTTAGTAAGTGAGGGGTTATCAGTAAGGCAACTATACCCATCGTTTCCAAATAACAGGGGGGGTAATTGCAAGTATACTGGTAACTGTCTGTAGTTCGGGGGCTTCCTCAATTTCATCCTGGTCTCTGTCGGTGTAGCCCCGGAACCCTAAACCCGAAAGTTACAGGGTTCAGGGTCGAGGTTTTGACTTGGGGTAGGGTTTAGGGGAACTGCATTGGCTTTGGTTAAGTTCAGGGCCTCTGGTTTATGGAGGCTTCCTCAACTTGGGGAGGGGCCTCCTAAACCAAAACCCTAAACCCTAAGCCCTAAACCCTAGCCCTAAACCCTAAACCCCTACGTATGTTTTGGGCGATTAATGTTGGGCTCAGGATCGCAATATCAAGAAAAGAGCGAACGCTGGAACGCTCCTAAACCGTAAACCCTGGAGCCCAAGTTCCTACAGCACAAGTCGGGTTTAGGGTGTAGGGTTTAGGGTTTAGGGTTTGGGGCCACCCGGAATGTTGAACCTAAAAGCCCACTCCACAAACCCCCTAGCCCTGGAACCCCAGAACTTGTGAACCTCAATTCCCCTCCAAGCGCACCTGGATACGACGGCCGTGGCAATCTGTGCCTGTTGTTTGTAGCGTTTGCCGGGTCTAGCCTCCATGTTCTTTTCGTCCAAAGGGACGGCTATGCCAAAAAGTGCTAGACGTATACTTCTGTTAAGAGTGTATATGCACACTAGACACAACAGCAAGCTAGGAACAAGACAAGGTGCCTTTTTTGTTTCAAGGGGCTTACAAAACCCCCTAAACCCTAAACCCTAAACCTTCAACCCTAAACCCTAAACTCTTAAATATCTTGGGATGTTCCCCCCTCTACTAACAGTCCGCAATAGGATTGTACTAGGGGGTACTAGAATCCCTTTTAAGGACTGTTCGTACCAGGGGGGGATCCCAACCTATTATATCTCCTAAAGCCCGAAGCCCTAAATCCCAACACTTTGGGGCGCCGCGAACTCCGCAACACTTGAACAGCCCAAACCCTAAACCCTAAACCCTAAACCCTAAACCCTAAACCCTAAACCCTAAACCCTAAACCCTAAACCCTAAACCCTAAACCCTAACCCCGAAACCCTAAACCCTAAACCCTAAACCCTAAACCCTAAACCCTGCACCTTCACCCCCTCCCGCCTCGTGCGCCTAGCCGACCGCTGAGGGTGAAGAGGGGAGGGCCCAGGTGGCGCAGGGCGAGCAGTCCAAGCCTCAGCTTCTTACGGGGATTGTAGGTTTAGTTAGGGTTTAGGGGTTTAGGGGTTTAGGGGTTAGGGGTTTAGGGGTTTAGGGGTTAGGGTTTAGGGTTTAGGGCTTAAGGTTTGGGGACTTTCGGGCTTTGGGGTTTAGGGCGTTGGGACTTTAGGGATTTGGAAAGTTTATGGGGTCTAAAAGGATCAGGTCTTAAGGCCCTAATCCTCAACCCTAAACCCTAAACCCCAAAATCTAAACCCATGCGGCCGAGGGCTGATGGGGTTTCAGGTAACGAACCCATCTGCATCCATAAATGCGCACATCGGCCACCTCGCCAAGGATGCGACGCCGAGGACGCTCGGGCGGTCCGTGGCGGACGGCGCGCCGCGCACATGGCGCCGGCAAGTAGCGAGCTGCTTGAGAAAGACGAGGACGCACTGCACGTGCACGTGAAACGCGCGGACTCGCGCTCCTCGCCTGCAGCGGGGAGAAGCTGAAGCCGCCCGGAGCGGCTAGGCCCTCCGGTGGAGAAGTGCAAAGACAGGGGACACCTGTGGGAACTTGTATGCCCCTGCACTTGGAGGTTCAGAGTTTAGGGTTTAGGGTTTAGGGTTTAGGGTTTAGGGTTGTTCAAGGACTTCTAACCCCATTTAGAATTCTAAAGCCTGAGCCCTTCTTCCGAGGCTTGGGCATAGGAGCCAAGAGGCCCCCGTGGCTATGGAAAGCTAATACCCTGAACCGTAAACCCGAAACTTTCCACATCTGCGCGCTCAACCCGGCCCAAAAACATCAGGAATCAGGGTTTAGGGTTTAGGGCTTAGGTGTTGAGAGTTCAGGGCCTCGGGGAAATCCTAACGACATGGGTTGGACTGAGCCCAAGAAAACCCTAAACCCCAACCCCAAAACTGCTGACGAAGATGCAAGACTGTCCAGCCGTACCATTTCACACAACTGACCAGCCGTACCATTTCACAAGCTAAAGCCGGGGGGGGAGGGCGTCCCTATTAGAGCACAGAGCCCTAAGCCCCAAGCCCCAAGCCCTAAGCCCTAAGCCCTAAGCCCTAAGCCCTATACCCTAAACCCTAAAACTCAAACCCTAAACCCAAACCTCTAAACCCCTAAACCCCTAAGCCCTCAAACCCCTAAACCCCTGAACCCCTAAACCCCTTAAACCCCTTAAACCCCTTAAACCCCTTAAACCCCTTAAACCCCTTAAACCCCTTAAACCCCTTAAACCCCTTAAACCCCTTAAACCCCTTCAACCCCTTAAACCCCTTAAACCCCTTAAACCCCTTAAACCCCTTAAACCCCTTAAACCCCTTAAACCCCTTAAACCCCTTAAACCCCTTAAACCCCTTAAACCCCTTAAACCCCTTAAACCCCTTAAACCCCTTAAACCCCTTAAACCCCTTAAACCCCTTAAACCCCTTAAACCCCTTAAACCCCTTAAACCCCTTAAACCCCTTAAACCCCTTAAACCCCTTAAACCCCTTAAACCCCTTAAACCCCTAAACCCCGTTAAACCCCTTAAACCCCTTAAACCCCTTAAACCCCTTAAACCCCTTAAACCCCTTAAACCCCTTAAACCCCTTAAACCCCTTAAACCCCTTAAACCCCTTAAACCCCTAAACCCCGAAACCCTAAACCAAAGCATCATATGAAGGGTGCGCAAAAACGCGAGAGACTGCCCCACATGAGGATCACCACTTCACCGACTCCCCGACCCCCCCAAAGCCTAAACGCTAAACCCTAAACCCTAACCCTAAACCCTAAACCCTAAATCCTAAACCCTAAACCCTAAGCCCTAAATCCTAAACCCTACACCCCCAAACCCTGAAGCCAAAACTCGCCCCCGCTGAGGTCAAGGACACCAGAAGGTACGAACGCAGCCGAGCTGGTCGCAGGCTACCCTCACCCATGGATCCCAGGTTTGGGTTCAGGCTCTAAACTCCGAACCCCAAACCCTAAACCCTAAACCCTAAACCCAGATATAAGAGTGAGGGAACACGCCAATTTTCGGCGGCACTGGCGCAGCACCGTATGGCTCCTGCCTTTCGGCACGTTGGGTGGAGGCTCACCGTGCAGAGCGCTCTCGTCAGCACCCCTCTGCACGATGTGGAGCCAAGAAACAAAACTGCGGGAACGTACATGTTACTCCCCGCTTGAAGTGTACAGCTTGACATGTTTTTTCATGAAAAAATGCACCCTCCCACCCACCGCTTGGCTACTTCACGCCATTGCGTAAAGCATGGATCAAATGTTGGCCGCGCTTGTATGCTACAACCAGCCGTGGATGAGAACCGAGTGCAGACTGAATTACGTCTTGCCACTGGCGTAACCAAGATCTTAGCTGCATATCTTCAAAGAAAGGATGATACATCACGCAAAAAGCCATACATCTGTTCTTGGCTCGCGTGGTAGTGCGCAGCATGGATTCTCGCCGACTGTACTGACAAGACTCGGAGTCAAAAACATGCTGAACAAAATGCTGACTGTATCCACATGCGATTAGTCGCCGCATGAAATCGCTACGCACTTGCCGAAAATCATCAGCACAACTGTTGGTGAGGATATACCTCTGCAATTCTCCCTGTATCCAGCTGGTGAACACTGCTTTGGGATGAGCAGACCATGGCGGGATGTAACGGAAGAGATTGGAAGGCTTGAAGTGCGTGCTAACTCGCAATCTGTCCTCGTGCACAGTGATTTGCAAGTCCAAAAATGAAATGGAGATTTGTGACCAGTCCCATGTGCATCTGTATCTGGCATTGGCTTGGCTGTACGCATCTTCAAAAGCCTGTCGCTGTTCCGAAGGTCCATACCAAACGACAAGGCAGTCGTCACGAAAGCGGCCGTACCACAACATATGATTTTGAATGTGAAATCGGACATCGGTGTTGCAGTCGACTGTGCGAGAAGCAACTAAATCACAAACTTCAGAAGCACATGCCAGGCCCTGACCGATGCGTAAACATCTGAATGTCGTGTCACCAGCTTTGATGTACTGGTTCGCAAGCACAAGTTTGAGAGCGTCAATCAAAGCACAGATTTTTGTCATGCGGGATGTGCCCTCAAATTCAATGAGCTCACGCTGCACAATGTTGCACGCTTCATGCGGACATGTGGAAGGATAGAAATCCTTGATGTCACCAGCGCCTAACCACACATTGCTGGGAACAACCATGCCATCAAGAGCAAGAATCACATCTCTGGTACAAGTCACAATAGCGGCTTTGCTAGAGACCACGGGTTTGAGATGCCTTTGGCAAATCTTGGCGAGTGGCGTCAGCGGAGATTTTGTTGTTGGAGTAATACATCTGGCAGTCTGGCACTGTTTGTGCGACTTCCATGTGTACTCCATCTCATGAATGTGCCAATGCTCAAATGCCGGCTGAAAGCACAGCAAATCACTGACACGCTTGGGAAGAAGAAGATGAGGAACTATATGTTGAACAGCCAAGAAAACCCCCAATCTGTCAGGCTGCTCAGCAACAAACTGCTCATGATCTGACGCGAGGTTGACGCACACGTCAGTTTTGTAGGATCTGCGCTGCGGGATGAGGCTGCTTCCTTTATCATCCTTAACTACCACAAAGTCATTGCTTTTGAGCCACCACAAGCCCAAACGGTCGAAAGCATCGAGATTGCTGTTGCGCTGATGCTGAGCTGCAGTGGCTGAAAACCTCTTCACCAAACTTGCCTGCATCTGCTCAAACACAGTGAATAAACGTGGACATTCAGGCGGTTGCCAGGAAGAGGGGCGTGAAAGACCGCGCCATAAGGATGAAGATTCAGCAGCTTGCCCAGATTCCTCGAAAAACTTGGCACAAAGGATTTGTCTTTGCAAAGATGTCATCGCATCAAGAATGCACTTCAGCTTGGGAGGCTTGGCTCTGCCAATGATGAACTTGGGTCCTTTGGAAAGTAAATGAGCAACGCAATCAGGCACCCCAACCTGATTGCGCGGAACGGCCATATTGCGGGAATGATCGAACCCAAGAACTCCTAGGTCAAGATTGCCAGTGAAATATTTGATCGCATGCTCCCAGCTGGTACGCCGCATGAGCTGAATTAGGTATTGGTCCATAAATTGGGCCATCGGACAAGAGGATAACCAAGTGGATTTCAAACGCTCACGGCCACATTGGTATCGATTCAACTTTCTCTGTTGCTCTACCATCGCGCTGCGCGCCATCCGCCTCCGGATCCTTGATGATGTTGGGACGGTGTACGTCTGCGCTGATTGAACGTTGCACGGCTGTTCGTCCGTCTTGAACTCCAAGATGGTGGCCGTGCTGCTGAAGGTAACCCCTTGCGCTTGCCCTTGCCAGCTGCTTTGCCTTTGCCATTGCCCTTTGCTTTGCCTTTTCCTTTGCCCTTTGTTCGGCGCTCTCTGGAGTTGCTCACGGATCTGCGTCTGTCTTGATGGGGGTACTGCGACGCTTGCCGCGAGGGACTGCGAGACCAGTCCTTGTTGTGGCTGCTGTGTTTGCCACGTCCTTTGCCCTTGCCTTTTCCTTTTCCACGAGAAGCTTGTCTGGCATCATGTTTTGGACCTCGGCCATTGTACGAGGTACCGAACTCACCATTGAACGCAGAGATGGCTCTTGCCACGGACTGTCTCTCTTTCGGATTGAAACAGAGTTTGCGGTAGCCAGGCTCAGAGCGTCCACGAGATAGAATGTTTGAGACTTTGCTTTCAATGATCATTTCGAGTTGGGCCTCCTTGGGCAGTGCACTGAACGCAGCTTGCGCCTGGGTTTGTCTCTCATTCAGGCGTTCAAGCTTCTGAGCATCGATCACTGCTTTGGATGCCTTGGCGAACAGCACATGCTCGAACGACATCTTGGCAAACTTTTTGGCCTCGTCATACCATGCCTCGTACTGGAAGTCTAAGTCAAGAGACATAGCACGCAGCTCATCTATGATCAAGTCCAATTGATCTTTGATTGTTGAGCTGTAGTGCTGCAAGCTGACCAGGGATTTGAAGTGATCAACAACTGCTTCTTTGACCTTCACCATGTAATCAACTTTGGTCGCCAGTTGCGAAGTCTTGAACGAATCGATGACCTCTTGGATTGATCGACCAGCAGTAGGTCCTTCTTGAGTTGGGAAAGGCATTCCCAACACACATTTTGGCACAGTAAATGAGTCAGCAAACTGTGGAGCTCGCCCTGTCTCCTTGAACTTTTGGTATTCGTTCAGAACGCTCTCGAATTGCTTACGGGCACTCCACAGAGAGGCAACATTCTTGCGAAGTCGGTCATGCTGCTGAAAGAGCATTGTCTGAAACGGCTTCTGGATGGATTTGAAATCAAATGCGAATCGTCTGGCATCATCTTCTCTGCGAGGATCGCTGTCGTCATCCACCATCATATCTTCTTGAAATTCTTCTTCATCTTGTAAGGTTTTGCGCCTGCCTGCTTCATCAGCAGCAAGGCTGCTTCTGATGGTATGATGCCGCAGTTCCTGCACTTTGGAATCTTTGGTTGCGCTGTGCCACATTGGCTTTGCCTGCACTCGTAAAGAAGAGCCACGAACCCAGATATAAGAGTGAGGGAACACGCCAATTTTCGGCGGCACTGGCGCAGCACCGTATGGCTCCTGCCTTTCGGCACGTTGGGTGGAGGCTCACCGTGCAGAGCGCTCTCGTCAGCACCCCTCTGCACGATGTGGAGCCAAGAAACAAAACTGCGGGAACGTACATGTTACTCCCCGCTTGAAGTGTACAGCTTGACATGTTTTTTCACGAACCCTAAACCCTAAACCCTAAACCCTAAACCCAAGGGGACCACTTATATTAAACACCCCTCATATACCCTATGCGACCTAAAGGCCCATACTTCAGAATTCTTTAAAGTAACGGACCATATTAAGGGACCATGTATACTGTCCTTAGACAACAACGTCTTAGGGTTTAGGGGTTACGGGTTTGGGGTTTAGGGTTTAGGGTTTGGGGTTTAGGGTTTGGGGTTTATAGGGTTTAGGGTTTAGGGTTTATATAGGGTTTGGGGTTTAGGGTTTAGGGTATAGGGTTTAGGGTTTGGGGGTTGAGGGTGCAGAACGCTACTTCGTAGCGTCCCTGCCATGCTCCCAGCGGACTTTCTTTTGCTGAGGTCTTTTCTTATCCTGCAGGATTTAGGGTTTAGGGTTTAGGGTTTAGGGTTTAGGGTTTAGGGTTTAGGGTTTAGGGTTTTGGGATTGGGGTGTAGGGTGTAGGGTTGGGTTTAGAGTTTTGGGATTAGGGTGTAGGGTTTAGGGTTTAGGGTTTAGGATTTCCGCGTGTCTGGACGCAATGGAGATTGTTGGAGCCTGGTGGCGTTCTCAGGGGGTGGAACCCCGCAGGTTCCACCACCTAAACCCTAAACCCTGAACCCTCCCAAGATCTTCGCGCCCAAGGATGCAGAAAGCCGAACCCCAAAACCCTCAACCGTAAACCCTAAGTCCTCAGCCCTAAACGCATAACCCGCACGAAGGGTCCATATTTGTTCTGATGTTCATGGGCCCCAAAGTCCCTTTCTAGGAGGTGCTTTAAGGCCAAGAATTCCCTTTGTAGGTGTATGGACCCTAAGGGCCACGTCACACGTCCCCTGAAGATGCAAAAATGCCAAAGGCCTCTCCGCAAACCCTAAAAAGCCCGACGCCCGCAAAAGCCGGAAATCAATCACCCAAAATACCCTGAACCCAAACAAGCACCGGCGCCTAGAACGGACCCTAAACCCTACACCCCAGACCCTAAACCAGAAACACTGAACCTCTCAACCCTGAAACCCTAAACCCTACACCCCTTACCCCTAAACCCTAAACCCTAAACCCTAAACCCTAAACCCTAAACCCCGGCACCTGCCACTGCGCCGCTGGGTGCCCTGAGCGCCCCATGGCACAGCTGGAGCCTTCAGCCGCATTCACTTGAGGGGTTTACGGTTTAGGGTTTAGGGCTTAGGGCTTAGGGCTTAGGGTTTGGGGCTTAGGGTTGGGACTGCAGGGTTTAGGGTTTTGAGTTTAGGGGTTTTGGGATTAGGGTCTAGGGTTTAGGAGTGTAGGGTTCAGGGCTTTAGGGCTGAGGGTTCAGGGTCGAGGGGTTTCGGTTTTAGGGGTTAGAGTTTAGGTGTTGAGGAGTTGAGAGGTTAGGGTTTAGAGTTTTAGGGGTTCAGGGCTTAGGGTTCAGGAGTTTAGGGGTTTCGGCTTTAGGGGTTTAGGGTTTTAGGGTTTGGGGGTTTAGGGTTTAGGGGTTTGCGGGTTTGGGGTTAGGGATAGGGTTTAGGGGTTAGAGGGGTTCAGTTTAGTGTTTAGGCGTTAAGGAGTCCAGGGGTTGAGGGTTAGGGGTTTAAGGGGCTTAAGGGGTTTTGGGCGTTTTGGGGGTTTACGGGTTTGGGGCTTTAGCTGGTGGGGAGGGGATTTAGGATGAGGGGGTCAAAGGTCTCGAGGTTTAGGGGTTTAGTGTGCAGGAGCGGGCTTAGGGGACCCTAAATCCTAAACCCTAAACCCTAAACCCTAAACCCTAAACCCTAAACCCTAAGCCCTTAGGGGTTTAGGATTTAGGGTTTAGGGTTTGACAAGTCATGACAAGACTTGGAGGATGCCATGGCACCACGAACCCTCTAAACCCCAAACCCAACCACCACAACCCATACCGCCACAACCCTGGACCTTCGCCCCTAAACCCGAAACCCTAAACCCTAAACCCTAAACCCGAAACCCTAAACCCTAAACCCTAAACCCCAAACCCTAAACCCAACTCGAAGCTCGAAGTAGCACATCTGAAGCCGGAAGGGCGAAACCCCCCCGAAAAAAAAAAAAAAAAGTCAGCAACACTGAAAACCCAAAGGCTTTCTTGAAAGCCCTAAAGCCTAAACCCTAAACTGGTTTATAGTTGGGATAATAATAAAAATTTAAAATTTTATTCTTATTGAGTTTAAGTACCCTTAAAAATGTAAAATGTTATCCCACTATGACAATGTAAACCCTGAACCCTAAATCTATACCCTAAACCCTAAACCCTAAACCCTAACCCTAAACCCTAAACCCTAAACCCTAAACCCTAAACCCTAAACCCTAAACCCTAAACCCTAAACCCTAAACCCCAAGAGCCAGGGCACAGGGCAGCAAGGAGGGGACGTCAGGCTGTCATGGCTATCGCTCCGACTTGACAGAGACGGCGAGGCAGGGCTGTCAAGAGGACACCAAGCGCGACGCCGGCTTAGGACATCAACAAGGGTTTCGGGTTCAGGGTTTACGGTTTAGGGTTTAGGGGTTTAAGGGTTTAGCGCTTTAGGGTCTGCGGTTTAGGGTCTAGGGCTTAGACAAGTTGATTGGAGTCTTGAACTTCTTAGGATCAGGGCACTTAGTCAGGTATCTATACCTAGAATGTCTTATAAGCTCAATGAATTAAGGTACTCATAAACCTACTTACTGAGTGCCCCGATCCCTCAAGTTGGTGCCAGGGCTAAGTTGTGGAGGTTTTAAGGTGCAGTTTGCTGGCCTGGGTCCCGAGAAGACTAAGGGGGAACCAGGAACCCCTAAACCCCTAAACCCCTGAACCCCTAGACCCCTAAACCCCTAAACCCCTAAACCCCTAAACCCCTAGACCCCTAAACCCCTGAACACCTAAACCCCTAAACCCTACACCCTGTTCGGTTGATATTAACCAGAGGTGTTCAGGGCACCCGCCCCCTGCTCCGAAAAAGAACGCATTCAAAGAAAAGGGTACGGCTGGAGGACTTAAATCTATACCTCAAAGCTCCAATCTGAGTCCAGAAAAAGCCTATTTTTTTGGCGACTAATAAGAATCCTACAAGACGTTCCATTAAAAATAACCTGCAGAAGTAGGCTATGGGTTCTTAAAGCAAGCTCCAACCCCAAGCCCCAAGCCCCAAACCCCAAACACTAACCCCAAACCCCAAACCCTAAACAAACCCAAAAACCTGAACCCTACACCACAAAAAACCTATAAACCCTCTAAACCACACCAGGCCCTGATGAAAGCCATACCTCCCCTCCTGACAACTGCCCAAGGGTGGCGCATGGTATCCATTCCCAGGGCCTCGCAAGAGGGTTTAGGGTTTAGGTTTTAGGTTTTAGGTTTAGGGTTTAGGGTTTAGGACTTGCGGCCTGCCTAAGGAGCGGATTGCGAAACCTTAAGAACCCTTCAAAGCCCTCCTAGAACCCCTACACCCCCTGGTTCTCAGGGAAAATCAGGGAATTTATAAGGCCCTATATACCCCTAAAGGGATTATATTACGTCATTCCCTCATTCCCTGCTAAGAACCAGCCAGTATACTGCCCTATAAAGAAAGGAAGATCTTAGATCCCGGAGATGCATGGCCTCTCACGTTTGGGATCCCGGGCGATTGACTACGTAGTTTAGGGTTTAGGGTTTAGGGTTTAGGGTATAGGGTTTAGGGTTTAGGGTTTAGGGTTTAGGGTTTAGGGTTCAGGGCTTCATAAGGAGGCATTAGGAAAGCTTGCCAGCAGGGTGTAGCGGTGGAGGTTCAAGTTCTTTTGTCTGACTGTAGGGCTGCTGACTCACACTGCCCAATTCCCTCAACCTGAACCCGAGGGTCTAATAAGGTGTGTATATCTACATATACATATATATATATGTATCATGTATATTTGAGTCTAGGGATTAGGGCTTTGGGTGTGAGCTGCGCCCTCAGCCCGAAACCCTTCTTAAAAACTCTCAGCCCCTAAACCCCAAACCCTCCACCCTAAAACCCAAAACTGCCTAACACCCCTAAGCCCCATGAAGCCCTACACCCCTAAACCCTCCCTTTTTTTGGGGGGGCCTTCTAAGCCCCTTAAAAAAGAAAAGGGTGCCCTTTTCATTCCTAGGTACTCTGACTCTGGGGTCGAGGGTTTGGGGTTGAGAGTTTAGGGTTGAGGGTTTAGGCGCTGAGGGTTGGGCTTGTGAGGGTCTGAGATTCAGGGTTGAGAGTTTGGGGTTTAGGTTTTGTGCAGAAGTCAAGAAATCCTTATTCCGCAGCTTGACCACACGAGACAAGGTCGATGCGAGTGGCTCCCTCCCCTAGCCAGCTCAGCCTTAAAAGCTTAGGAAGCTATCTATTGTCCTCTCTCTCTCTCTCTTGTAATTATTTCTTTCTTGGTTCTTCTTTCAATGAGGGCCTAGTCTGGGCCCTAATTCGCAAATCCTCAACCCTAAACTGGACCCTAAACCGTAACCCTATAAACTCTGAACCCTACCCATAACCCCTACCCCCTACCCTCTACCCCCTAAACCCTAAACCCTATAAACCCTATAAACCCTATAAACCCTATAAACCCTATAAACCCTATAAACCCTATAAACCCTCTAAACCCTCAAAACCCTCAAAACCCTCTAAACCCTCTAAGCCCTAAACCCTAAACCCGAAACCCTAAACCCTAAACCCTCGCCGAGCCTGCAGAAGTGTGTGTCCCCTCTTCGCCCGCGCCGGCGGGTGCTCGCCGAGCCTGCGCAGAGCGATCGCGCAGAGTTTGAAGCCCGACCCCAGGGTTTAGGGTTTAGGGTTTAGGGTTTCGGGTTTCGGGTTTCGGGTTTCGGGTTTCGGGTTTAGGGTTCCTTATACAGTAATCTGTGAGTTTCTCTAGATCACGGTCCTGTAGAGTTTAAGGGGGCCTGTAAGGCTTCGTGGTTTGGGCAACTCTCGAAATTCTAGGTATGGGGGTATACAAGGGTTCCCCAATTAAGGGCTCATATTAAGGGGGCATGTAACTAAGAGAATTAGAGCGGCCATGAGAGGGATCCCTGAACCCTAAACCCTAAACCTAAACCCTAAACCCTAAACCCTAAACCCCAAACCCCGAACCCTAAACCGCCCCCGGCATCCCGCCGAGGATGAGGCTAGGCATTATTGGGAGTCTGATATAGGGGTCGGAAGAAGTACGAATATTATTCCCTTATAAGGCTCCCTTTTCAATTATACTATAACAAAGCCCTATTCTAATGATTCAGGCCCCTATGTTACGCCCTGAACCCTAAACCCGAAACACTTTTGACGAAATAGGCTCTGGGCCCTGAGCCCAGGCCCGCAAGCTCCAACCCAGCAGACAGAACTCTACTGAACCCTGAGCTCTCTGCCAAACTCTACTTGGTAGCCCAGTGACCTTAACGCAGCAAGGGCACCCCTTTGGGGGGCTGGTTACTTTATAAGAGAACCCAGCACCAAAAAAAGGGTAAAGGGCACCACCCGGGGGGCTGGGGGTGAGGGCTTGGGGCTTCGGGTTGGGTTTAAGGTTTAAGTTGAAAGGGGTGCAGGGTCTCATCCCTAAACCTTAAACCCTAAACCGTAAACCCGGAACCCTAAACCCTAAACCCAAAAGCAGGCACAGGCCTCGGGAGAGCGGCGGTCGCGTGCTCCTTCACGAATTGTGTGATGTTCTCCACCACCTTGCTACCTGGCAATGATGGGACTCCTGGAAAGTCCCTAGATGCTAGGGCCTTTTGGGGTTTTGGGGTTTAGGGGTTTAGGGGTTTAGGGTTTAGGGGTTTAGGGTTTAGGGTTTAGCGTTTAGGGTTTAGCGCTTAGGGATTAGGCTTTAGGGTTTAGGGTGAGTATGATCCTCTTTTGACCCGTAAAGGTAAAATATGCAACATCCCACGGGGTTGCCCAGGCTCCATAAGTTACGCGATTTGTGCACGCGTACCTGGAGGGCTTCGGGCTGAAGTTTACCAAGTACCTCTTAATGAGGGCTTAGGGTTGAGGGTTTGGGGTTTAGGGGTTAGGGTTTAGGGTTTACGGCTTAGGGTACCCGTTAAGAAAGCCCAGGTGCACCTTACTGGCGGTCATTTCGGGAATCTTGACGGGTACTTGGTGGGTCTGCCGGAGGCTGAGAGTTCCATTGCATTTAGGACTGGCTTTATTAGGGTTTAGGGTTTA